AACATTAATATTACATATTTTATACGTTAATTACAGTTTGAGAGCTACCGAATTTATTTAATTATTTATAAAATAAATAAATTAATTTTAAGAACACAAAACCAAATAATCAGTTGTCTAAATATTATTTTTTTAACAAAATATCCATCAAAATACATTTTTCTCTTAAATTTATTTTAAAAACATATTTTTTTTCTCCAAGAATTTTTTTAAAAATATATATTACGTTTTCAAACCTTTATTTTTCTAAAATAATATATTTTTTAAAGGGTTAATTATTTCTTAAAATAATTAGTTTTCTGAATGATTAGTTTTTAAAACAATGAATTACTTCTAAAAAATAATTAATTTTCTAAAAATTTCCTTTTAAAATGTTTTTAAGTATTTTTTTAAAAGTTTACAAATTTCACTCTCTTTATTTAAAAATAATAGTTTAGAAGGGTTTTGTGACAACCTTTTAGGGTCAACTTCTAGATTTTACATACTTAAATACTATATTGTTTTGATTTATACAGTGATATAAACAATGATCATGCAGATTTGTTTATTATTGTTAGTCTATTATAGATTTATTCATTACATCAAATTCAAATTATTTTATTTTAAAATATTTTAACCTTTTATTATTTCTAATATGATTGCAATGATTACAATTAGTTCACACAAGCAACTGTTTTCAAGATGTATTCATCATGATCTACTAATTCAGTGAACATGATGGTGAGTAAAAAACCAACTTTCTGAAAGTTATCATTTTCTAAAAATATTTACTTTTCATTTCCATTTATATGCTTTTCATTTTTTATTTATTTAGAAGGCATTTGATATATTTTACGAAAATGATACTCATTCTACATTGATATTTTTGGATTTTATTTATTTATTTTTCTCAATCTTTCTAGTTTGAAACAGAGTTTGTAACGAAGGTGAGTTTGTGGCGGTGTACAAACTTCAGAGCTGAACTTACACTTTCTTTCTGCAACACATACAACACAATTCAATTTCTTCTTTCACTTTGATCATCGTTTTCTCTCTATTTTTTCCGAATTCTCTCGTAATAGGAAGAGACCATGAAATCCGGCAGAGACAAAGAGAAAGAGAACGATCGCTGCATCAGTTCGCATATGCAGACCCTCCATCGCCGTCTTATCCACGCCCTAAACCTTGGCACCAGGTCTTAACTCGCACCCCACTTGCCTCTAATTTTTTATTCCGTCATTTTTTTCATTAAATTTTCTATCTTTTTGGTTTTTGACGAAGTGGGCCCAAAGTGATTGAATTGTATTTTTCATGTTGGGGGTTGTTGTTCTGGTTGTGATTTTATTCTTTGTGAATACAGACATTTTGATGAGAAGACAAATAGGTGGAGATGGCAGTGCGCCAACATTGAAGTGCAGAAAAATGTACTACGATCAATTGGTGCCTTTCTTGATTCCTTATCGGGCGATGCACGTGCAGCACGTCATGCTGTTGTTAAGGTGTATAGTTTGCTTCCTTTTGTTTTTGGGATTTTAAGTCTTGTAAGTAGCACCTATGAACCTGAATTAGGAGTTTCTGTGCTTGTTCATCAGACTTTCTAAATGAAATGTGCATATCTGTGAAGATTGTGGAATTTGTAGATCGTTTTATGAATTTACTTGAGCCAATTTCACTCAGCATACTTACGAAGTTAGGATTATATGTACGTCGGTGAATTAATTACAATGAATTATTACTAGCATAAACAAATATATTAATCGAAGAAAGGATTTCACCGGGGCAGTTTGGTCTGAGAAAAACAGAATTCTGTTTCATATTTATTTTAACTTTTCCGATCTTTATACAAGGAAAGGCGAAAACAACAAAAAATAATTTAAAAAGTTGTTTTTACGTATCCTGCACTTTGAAAACAGTAGACACAGTGAAAAGAGATAATGTTTTCACAAGCCAAACTGATACCTTTTGGAAATAGTTACTAATGTAAATTCCTACTTGTAAATTTGAGTAGAATGATTTGACATAAATAAATTGGTCTGGTATTTTCATTCAATAACAATTAAATGTGCTTTCCTGCATTGCTTTACTTCTTCAGGAATCTGTTCCTGATATTTTAGGAGCATTATTATGGATTCTTCAATGCAAAAATGAGGCTTTATTAAGCATGGCATCAAATGTTGCAGTGAAGTTGGTTAGTGTTCTGCCTAATCCATTATTGCAATCACATATGTTTGATCTTGTTTATTGTCTATCATCCTTGCTATCTTCACATCAAGTAGAAGTTGCTATACCCTGTGCTACCACTTTGAATTTTGTAATCTCAAATTTGAGTGCTACAAATGAGAAGGAAGTTATGGAAGCACTGAAAGAAACAGAGGCTTCCCTTTGGATTGTTGGAAATATAAAGGATTTTGCTGAAGGTGTAAAGAAAATTGAGTATTTCGAAGAGATGATTTTACTTTTGAGCACTATACTATGGCGCTGGCCACCGTCTAGGTTCTCTGTTTGTAATGATGTAATACTTATGAAAGGTCTAGCAAACATCCATACAAAGACAGATAGTTCTATTAAACTCGCACTTCTAAAGTTGTACACGTCAATAGGTATTAAAATACCACTCTATTGTCCATTACAACCAAAACACTTTTCCTTGTTATCATCTATTCTCTGGACCAACTAATTTCTATTTTTGTTACCAGCTTTGTGTGATTCTGCAGCAAGAAGACTTATAGAGGATGAAGAAATATTTCCACAAATGTTTGTGCAGGCAATGGGAAAATCAAACCCTCATGCTATTCGGATAGAGGGGTTTAGGCTTGCTCAGTGCCTATTGGTAACATTTTATTGTTCTACAAGATGACCACTGTAATATAAAGTATTGCTCCTAACAAAGATTGGTTTTTATCTGTCCAGAGATCCCAAGATAATTGTTTAAAAGTGGTTGGTTTGTGTGGTGATGCTCTTGTTGAGGCCATCATTTGTGGAATGACAGAACCTAGGGTGACTTCTAAAAAGTTTGGAAACAACCACGGGTCTTTGTCAGTTGAAGCATGCCAGTTGGCTCTAATTACTCGCTGGGCAGGTGATCATCATACCAACTTTTGGAAACAAGGAATTGATAGAGTCCTTCTTAGTCTTCTGATTGAAAATATTGAAGACCAATTGTTTGAACCCGTCTTGGCTTTGGAAAAACAAATATATATGGCAAAAGAGGGATTAAAAGCCAATTATCATCTTGGTCTTAGGAGTTATCTGTGGGACATTCTTGGGTGGCTTACAATTCATTGGGGAGAAAATTTAAACCCTTATACTCGTGGTAGTGAGCTCTGCATCAAGTTACTAATTACATGTGCATGGTAAATTGTATTCCTTCCATTATCATTTCTTGATGGATTTAACATGTTTATAAACATTAATATAATAACATATCCTATGTCTCAGCTTCTTGTTATTTCTGTTGATTATATTTCTGAAAATTTTCAGCTGACCTTTTATTTCACCGGTTGATGTGCTCCAAATTCACTAATTCTAATTTTCACTTTCTCTATAGCTTGAGTTTTGTGGATACACTTGAAAAATGGTGCAGAATTTGTCAAAAGGATATTGATGATCATTTTCAAAGTGAACCTGTATCAAGGGCCNCGTTTTCTCTCTATTTTTTCCGAATTCTCTCGTAATAGGAAGAGACCATGAAATCCGGCAGAGACAAAGAGAAAGAGAACGATCGCTGCATCAGTTCGCATATGCAGACCCTCCATCGCCGTCTTATCCACGCCCTAAACCTTGGCACCAGGTCTTAACTCGCACCCCACTTGCCTCTAATTTTTTATTCCGTCATTTTTTTCATTAAATTTTCTATCTTTTTGGTTTTTGACGAAGTGGGCCCAAAGTGATTGAATTGTATTTTTCATGTTGGGGGTTGTTGTTCTGGTTGTGATTTTATTCTTTGTGAATACAGACATTTTGATGAGAAGACAAATAGGTGGAGATGGCAGTGCGCCAACATTGAAGTGCAGAAAAATGTACTACGATCAATTGGTGCCTTTCTTGATTCCTTATCGGGCGATGCACGTGCAGCACGTCATGCTGTTGTTAAGGTGTATAGTTTGCTTCCTTTTGTTTTTGGGATTTTAAGTCTTGTAAGTAGCACCTATGAACCTGAATTAGGAGTTTCTGTGCTTGTTCATCAGACTTTCTAAATGAAATGTGCATATCTGTGAAGATTGTGGAATTTGTAGATCGTTTTATGAATTTACTTGAGCCAATTTCACTCAGCATACTTACGAAGTTAGGATTATATGTACGTCGGTGAATTAATTACAATGAATTATTACTAGCATAAACAAATATATTAATCGAAGAAAGGATTTCACCGGGGCAGTTTGGTCTGAGAAAAACAGAATTCTGTTTCATATTTATTTTAACTTTTCCGATCTTTATACAAGGAAAGGCGAAAACAACAAAAAATAATTTAAAAAGTTGTTTTTACGTATCCTGCACTTTGAAAACAGTAGACACAGTGAAAAGAGATAATGTTTTCACAAGCCAAACTGATACCTTTTGGAAATAGTTACTAATGTAAACTCCTACTTGTAAATTTGAGTAGAATGATTTGACATAAATAAATTGGTCTGGTATTTTCATTCAATAACAATTAAATGTGCTTTCCTGCATTGCTTTACTTCTTCAGGAATCTGTTCCTGATATTTTAGGAGCATTATTATGGATTCTTCAATGCAAAAATGAGGCTTTATTAAGCATGGCATCAAATGTTGCAGTGAAGTTGGTTAGTGTTCTGCCTAATCCATTATTGCAATCACATATGTTGGATCTTGTTTATTGTCTATCATCCTTGCTATCTTCACATCAAGTAGAAGTTGCTATACCCTGTGCTACCACTTTGAATTTTGTAATCTCAAATTTGAGTGCTACAAATGAGAAGGAAGTTATGGAAGCACTGAAAGAAACAGAGGCTTCCCTTTGGATTGTTGGAAATATAAAGGATTTTGCTGAAGGTGTAAAGAAAATTGAGTATTTCGAAGAGATGAGTTTACTTTTGAGCACTATACTATGGCGCTGGCCACCGTCTAGGTTCTCTGTTTGTAATGATGTAATACTTATGAAAGGTCTAGCAAACATCCATACAAAGACAGATAGTTCTATTAAACTCGCACTTCTAAAGTTGTACACGTCAATAGGTATTAAAATACCACTCTATTGTCCATTACAACCAAAACACTTTTCCTTGTTATCATCTATTCTCTGGACCAACTAATTTCTATTTTTGTTACCAGCTTTGTGTGATTCTGCAGCAAGAAGACTTATAGAGGATGAAGAAATATTTCCACAAATGTTTGTGCAGGCAATGGGAAAATCAAACCCTCATGCTATTCGGATAGAGGGGTTTAGGCTTGCTCAGTGCCTATTGGTAACATTTTATTGTTCTACAAGATGACCACTGTAATATAAAGTATTGCTCCTAACAAAGATTGGTTTTTATCTGTCCAGAGATCCCAAGATAATTGTTTAAAAGTGGTTGGTTTGTGTGGTGATGCTCTTGTTGAGGCCATCATTTGTGGAATGACAGAACCTAGGGTGACTTCTAAAAAGTTTGGAAACAACCACGGGTCTTTGTCAGTGGAAGCATGCCAGTTGGCTCTAATTACTCGCTGGGCAGGTGATCATCATACCAACTTTTGGAAACAAGGAATTGATAGAGTCCTTCTTAGTCTTCTGATTGAAAATATTGAAGACCAATTGTTTGAACCCGTCTTGGCTTTGGAAAAACAAATATATATGGCAAAAGAGGGATTAAAAGCCAATTATCATCTCGGTCTTAGGAGTTATCTGTGGGACATTCTTGGGTGGCTTACAATTCATTGGGGAGAAAATTTAAACCCTTATACTCGTGGTAGTGAGCTCTGCATCAAGTTACTAATTACATGTGCATGGTAAATTGTATTCCTTCCATTATCATTTCTTGATGGATTTAACATGTTTATAAACATTAATATAATAACATATCCTATGTCTCAGCTTCTTGTTATTTCTGTTGATTATATTTCTGAAAATTTTCAGCTGACCTTTTATTTCACCGGTTGATGTGCTCCAAATTCACTAATTCTAATTTTCACTTTCTCTATAGCTTGAGTTTTGTGGATACACTTGAAAAATGGTGCAGAATTTGTCAAAAGGATATTGATGATCATTTTCAAAGTGAACCTGTATCAAGGGCCGTTCTAATGATGATTCATTCTCCATGTAATTCCATCTCCTCACACACTAAATTCTTATTATCAGATGTACTGAAGGTGAAAGGCATGTCATGCTTGAAAAGCTTATTACATACTCTAGATTATACATCATCCCTAGAAAGCTATGGTTCATTTGATAAACTTCAACTGGTTATTAATTTAATTGGGTTTACTTGTCTTTCAAGTTTACCACAATACCAAAGATGTATCATTGAGAGCAAAGGGATAAAGGTGATTGTTCTTCTTCTGAAACGATGCTTAAATAATGACATTCATATCGAAAGGCAAAGCTTTACTCCTCATTTGCACACACATGAAAGGTCTTGGTGCTGTTTTGATAAAGAAGATTGGGAAGGCTCCAACATTCTCTTATTTTATAGTTTGTTGGCCTTAACAGAAATTCTTCATCAGTGTGACCTTTTACAAGAGAATCCTCAGCAATTTTCTGGAGAGGTGACAAACATTACACCACAGTTCGTTAGCAAACTTCAAGAGATCTGTAAAAGCAACTCTTTCAGTCCTGGTGTGAGATGGTATGTTTCTTATATTCTAACTTATTTTGGATATTATGGCTTCCCAACTGAATTAGCCAAAAGGATTGGAGAATCTCTCAATAAGGAAGAATACTCAGATATGAAGCTTGTCTTAGCAAATGGGGAATCTCTGAGTGTTCATGTTGCTATTCTTGCTGTTCGATGTCCATCACTAGTGCCTCCTCAATTGTTACCTTGTAGGAAGAGTTCTAAAGAGATAGCAGATGAGTTTGTCAGAGAGACCGTGAGAGAAGTTCGATTATCTTCTCATGTTGGTTATGAAACATTGGTGTTGTTGTTGGAATATGTATACTTGGGATGCTTACGTGCCAGTGAAGAAGCAGCAAAGAAGCTAAAAGTTCTTGCTAAGCGCTGCAATCTACAGCCTTTGTTCCAAATGCTTCACAGACAGCATCCGAAATGGGGCTTACCTTTCCCCAGCTTTAATCTTACGTCAGCTTTTGGTTTAGCTGGAAGTTGTTTTTCGTATGGTTTGCTTCTTGATAAACTTCTTATAAATATCTTGAAATTGCACATGATTGTTGTAATCTTGCATTCTCACAAAATTCTGTGCTTTAATTCACATATACTTATATAGCAGCCTTTCAATTTAATAGTTTGTTAGGTTCATTCAATGCTTTTTAAAGTGAGTTACTTTTCCAAAAACTGTTGAAGTTGGATACAGTTGCGAAATGCAATTGTATTATCAAATATAGTGAGGCAATTAAATTTACTAATTGGAGATTTCTTATTGATTAATATTTGTGGACTTTGTGATTTTAGGGTAATTGAAATGTTTATACTTTCTATACAATGAGGAATAGTAACAGTGAGATTGCCAACATTTGTTTTCAAAGTTTGGGAGAGGAATTCTGATTTTTCAATCTATTTTCAGGGATATCGTATTGGGAGCTAAATCAAATGAGCTTGCTGGGTGGACATGCGATATTTGTTCTGACACAGTACCCCATATGCATGTTCACAAAGTTATATTGCAGTCTGGTTGTGATTATCTACAAGGTTTGTTCCGGTCAGGAATGCAAGAAAGGTAATTATTGATCAAGATATTGATAATTGATCTTACAGTTTTTCTGATTTATGTTATGAATGATGAAAAACTTTACTATTTATTCAAACTTTAGCTCATGAAAATTGAACATGTACATGGTATAAACTCAAAAAGCAGACATGCATGGTTGTCTATTACTTTCTTTGTTGACCAACATCTATGTAACCTGTTCTAGGTTAAACTCTGATCAAGGCTGATATAACACTTCACCATAATGTAGGTGAAGTATAGAGCGGAATAGAAGTGTGCTGAGGTGGCAATTTCTGTTCAGGGAGTGTAGGATGGGAATATAGGAGAGTGTGGGATGGTGGGACTCAGTTACACTTTTGGGTGATTGTGTTGGGAGAGAAGACTCTTCTTCTCTCAGGAGCTTACACTTTGGTCTTGCTGTAAGGAGCTTAGGCTCTGTTTTTCATTAAATAATATTCCCTTTTCATTATATTTTGTAAGAAGTTCTATTAATTGGTCCAACCTACTGGATTCAATTTCCCATTGCCCCCAAAAGTGACAAAGTTGAGTTTTTGGAGGCTTAGGTAAACTCTAGAGAATTCACTGAAAACATCAATTAAGGATTTTAGAAAGTCTTTACTCACTAAAATGGGAAAGTTGTGGTGAGAAGTTTCACCCCTTACACCAGTGGCCTAAGAGGCAATTTCATTTAATTTTGGGAGATGACGAGAGGTCACATATACATCAAAAATTTTGGCTATTGAGGGGAATGATCATGAAGGAGAGAAAGATTTTGAGTGTAGAACTTTGAATTAATGTGGGTTGTTTCATGGTATCCTTGATGATGTAACAATTATGTGGATCGAAGGAATATTGAAGGGAATCATAGTAATGATGATGGTGGATGGGGGGCATTGCATAACTTCATTTCTCCATAAATAACGATTTTTCTGAAGATCCTTGTTGTTTCAACTCATGCAATGGGAATTTGGTTGGGTGATAGTCACATGGTTACTACTAAAGGTATTTGTTTCAATCTTAGCATTCAATTGCAAGGAATTGACATCACTATAAAGGCTTAGTGCTAGATTTGGATGTGACCATAGTCCACTTTGAAATTGGGGGAAAATGACTTTGAAATTTGTGCACCATGAAAGTTTGAAGAATTAAAATAGACTGATATGTTTCTCTTCACAAGCATATTCTAACTTTACTTTGGAAACTCACTAATGGTGTTCTTGATCCCTTGGTTGGAAGTAACGTGGAATCATGTCTGTTGTCATGATGGTTTGCCTTGTTATGTTCTTCTATGTTAACTTCATTTCAATTCTCAAGTTAGTCTAGGATATACTTGCAAATCAGGTATGAGAATTTTTCATTTCTAATGGGACACTTTGCAAGCCTCTTTGCTTTAATTTTTGTTTCCTTCTACACTTGGATTCTGCCTCTTATGGGTCTCTCTTAAATGTTATTTATTCATTGTTGCAGTCATTCACAAGTAATAAAAGTTGATATTAGCTGGCAAGCATTGATTAAACTAGTGCAGTGGTTTTATTCTGATGAGCTGCCTGGTCCTCCATCTGGATGCTTGTGGGATAATATGGATGATCAAGAAAAGCTATTTAATCTACAACCATATGTGGAGCTTTATTGGCTTGCTGAGTTCTGGATTTTAGAAAATATTCAGGAAGCTTGCTTTAATGTTATTATGTCTTGTCTTGATTCTTCCTGGCGGTTGTCCATTAGAATAATCAAAATGGCTTATAATCTCTCTTTGTGGAAGTTAGTTGATATTGCTGCAAATCTCATGGCTCCTTCATATCGTCAATTACGAGATTCTGGTGAACTAGAAGAATTTGATGATGCACTAGTGCACTTGATTTATTCTGCTTCTATCCAACTTAACTAAGAAAGCAAAAATTGTTTTTGGTGAATCAATACTCCTCAAGATGGTTCATAGTGCAAGAGATTCTGAAGGCATATACTAACTTTTTTAGGAGCTACAAACTTTGTCAAGTATGGTATGCTGATCTTTCTGTCACATTACTTTTAATTTTCAAGGTTTTAAAATTACTTCTAGAATTTTGATATGAATCCTTTAACTTTTTGTTTTCTGCATTTTATTAAAATCTGAAAGGAAAATTCTGCTTAATTAGGGACATTAAAAATTTTCTATACCATGTGCTATTCTTTCTTCCTTTTCCTTGAAAATATTTATTTTTCCTTTTGCTCTTGTTAATTGGTTTTTCTGAGCTGACAGGTCTATACCCTCTTTATTAAAACGATTGAAAGAAAAGCAATTCAAGTGCTCCCATTTTATGTAACTTCTTGATTACTTTATTCAAAGATTTTCTAACTTCTGTAATTCATCAACCTCATTATAATCTAAGGCATTTTCCTAATCTCAATTTTCTTATTTGATAACATTTTTGGATAATAAAAACTGATAGAAAGGAAGAAGATACATCTGGTCTGGGGTTTTCCTCGTCAAAAGAAAAAAAAAAAGGAAAAAGAGAAAACAGTGACCTGAAGTAGCTCAAACAGGGCATAAAATTGATTAATCTCTTTACACATCACTGATGGGAAAGTCCTAGTAGCAATCATGAACAGAAGCATAATTATAGTATTATCACATTGCAAGTGAAAGGAACCAGTAAATTATCTGGGTGAGTAGATAAGAAAAAACAAAGTAGGGAGGTGGGAGGTTGAAGAGAGGGTGTGGGGATTCATTTGCATAGTCACTAAGTGCATCGGTTTTAGTACCTTAATTATTAGGGAAAATTTGCATTGTTTTCAAATGATGTTTTAGTAGGATTTTATTTATATGGTATTTTAAATTCTAAAATAAGCTATATTGGAAGAAATGTTTATGACCAGGTGATTTGTTAATACCTGTTGGTCTCTTCTATATATTGATTGCAGGCATCAGAAGAACCTGGGATGTGGCTTGCTCCATGATTCTAAGCGAGTAAAACATTTTTTTGTGGTGGAGGTTAGAGAAAACTTGTTACTCGTGAAAAAAATCTAATGTTTGGTCAGTTTAGAATGCTCGTATCACTTACATTTTGTTCACTTAAATGGATTTGGAGGAGAGTGATTGAATGAATTTGAGAGGAATTGAATGTAAAGTTTTTGTTATTTATTTGAATGGATTTGGAGATAAGTGAGAGTGGGTTTGGAAGTAAATTTTTTTAATCTGTCACATCAATCAAATCTTACGCTAATGCTTACAAACTTTACTTCCCAATCCACTCTCACTTACCTCCAAATCCACTTAAATAAATAACAAAAAATTTATCTTCAAATCCATTCGATCAATCTCCCCCAAATTCATTCAAGTGAACAAAGTTTTAGTAGTTCCTTAAAAATAATTCATAATAGTCAATTTGTATTTTGTTCCCTCCTTTTTGCTCTTATTGAGGTGCTTTCTTGGATTTAAATTGCAGTTGAAGATGCCATGCCATGCATGCCCTTTGATACAGTCAATGATGACCGAAACAAATAGTTTCTTTTCCTAGGCAGTAAAAACAACAATTTTGGGACCTGTCTTTAGCTGCTGCTTCTGCCATTAAAGAAAGCTCTTGACACTTTCGAAGAGTTTTTGGGAGCAAAAAGGTACATTCTTGGCTTTTCCAGTTGGCTGCATTCTTGGCAGCAGCCATGTAACCAATATTCCTACTCAACATTTTCCTCTCAGCTTTTCTCTGAAATGTGATTTCTTGCATATGTGCCAAACTTTGAGCTTCTCTCATGGTTCTTGGCTTGAACAAACAGACTAAGCATCAACGGGGTATTCTTAAAATGAGCAAAGTTCACAGAAAATAGCATCAAATTCATCATCATTAAATTCTGCCAAGGTGCCACGTTGTAGTAGACACATCAAAACTTGAAAGTGATCTTCTTGGTGGCATGTATGATGGAGCCCCACTCTGACGTCCAAGATTGCTGGAGGCATTGTCTCCTTTGCGTATTAGTTGCTCAAGCTTCTATGATAGTGTATCCCAACACCATAGCTTCAGGGATTCTTTGTATTTCAGCGTTGTACCAGTAGTAGGTTATTTTCATTTTTCGTGGTTCCGAGTTAATCATTGTCGAATTTGTGTGTAGGGGTTCTTGAACTTCTCCTGATATATCCTCTTATTTTATTGATTTGCAGTTGAAATATTTTTCATAATTTTCGAGATGTTATTTAACTTCCCCTTTTGTTGCTTTAGATTATATCAAGTATGTATTGGATTGGATTGCTTCTAGAGATTATTTTTCTAATTGATTATACATCATATTATCAATTGTCTTGTTTCCAAGTGAAAGAGGAACTATGTCCCATGTATCACTACATTCAAGAGCCTATCTTTCATCAATCATGGTTTGTTGCATTGGACGAATCATTAGAGTGAGGTGACAAAGAAAGGAGTTTCTTCAGAAAAAAAGGTGACACTTGCATATATGTAATATATCTTTTAGCATAAGGTTAATGACATTGATACCCTTTTTAAAAACTAGAACATCCTAAAAAACACATTTGATAGCTCAAACCGAAAGTTTATCCAAACTTAAAATATATGATGTGCAAAACACACAGTCAAATACTCAAGAAAGAATGTGAAACAAAGGTTTATTTGGAAATACAATGAAATATGAACCCTTATTATCTAAAGACAAAAAAGACGTTCTATTAATAAGATAACACCCAAAAAGAATGACACCAAATAATAAGGTACAAGCAATTTTAACTAAATGTTTACTTTTTTGTTTTGCTATATCATTTACTTATATGAAGACATATTGAATAATGTAAAATGCCATGAGTTTAAAAGAGTGGAAAAACTAGAAAAAAAAGTATTCTTTTATATTAACACTCCTTAATATCTTTATTACTTATTATATTGATTCTTAATTTGATTAAGGAATGACATAAAGATGTTTAAAAGTTCAAATCTTTCCTTAAGTAAACTAAGTAATTGAAAATACTCATCAATAAAAATAACAAAATAACAAACCAAAAAATGAAAATCTATATCCCAAAATTAGAATAAATTATAAAGAAGAGAGAGTTACACCTTGATTTGGATTTTTTTTGTTTAAAAAGACAATTTAGGATAATAAAAAACATGTTTTAGGTTGAAAGATGGAGAAAGTAAGTAAATTTAGAATGAGAAAAAAATAAAGTAATAGCTTAAGGAATTTTAGAATAAGAATGGAAGAAAGTAAAAAACATTACATGATCGGAAACACCTAAATGAAATTATTCACGAACTTTAACATTTTAAGATTTGAAAAATGCAAGCTTTTGACAAACTGGTGTAGTGTTGTGCTTTAGTGTTGGACTTTAAATTAGATGTTCATAAGAAATATGTGGTTCAACTTTATTAGATTGGAAGATGTTTGTTGTCTTGGTAGTAAAATCATGGAAGGAGAAGTATTTATCTTGAGTGTGGCTAATTATCTTACAAAAGGAGTTAAGGACGTTTGTATTCACTTTGAGAAAATGTATACATATTTAAGGAAGAATTCACCAACAATCAAAATTACAACAATATACTTCACAGCTAGTGCCAAAAAGGTTAGCAAAGTGGAAAGCATTCACTCTGATACTAACTTAAGACTGAAAATATGAGAAAAGTAGCTTAAGGAATTTATTATCTTCAACTTCTCTATTATTTATAAAAGAAAAATACATAAAAAATATCTAAGTTAATAATGCTAGCAACTCTAGGAATTTAATACTTACAACTCACAAGTACATTTGTTAATCACCTACATTAAATATACATATCTAACAACTATTTATATTTAATAGATATTCTAACAATTGGTATTCCAATACCTTTTTTATTTCACTTGAAGAAATTGTTTTCCAACACCTAAGATTTTCTCCAAAAAAAATGCAAGAGTTTTCAACCCATTGAAACTTTAACCTATAAATTACACTTGAATGTTGAATTCGAAACCATTTAAACATAAAACCAGAACAATTTTATAATCCACGTGTCCTATATTTCAAATAAAGTGTAAGTTATGTAAAATGCCGAATAGTTTCATTGGGAGATGCACAAAAATTAAAATTCAAATCCGACTAAACCTTTTTAGAGGAATTTGGTTCTTAATCTAAGCGCTGCAATTGTTTTAATGGATCAATTATGAACCAAATTGACCTTGACCTGTTTCTAATAACTTCACCGTTTTAAAAGTTAAACCTGCAAAACCTGCAAAATATGTAACGGTTTTGATGAATTACGAAAGAAAGGCTAATCAATACGAGAAAATTTACCAATCATAACATTTTGGAAATGGCATGTGCATTACTTCAACAATTAAAAAATTCCATGTACTGCTTAGCCGCAAACGCAACAGCAAACTATATGATGATACAAAACTACAGTCTGTACCAATGGAAAAGGAGACAAAAGTGAAACCAAGAAATAAGGTTAACATAATTTATTCTTAGGAATGCCAACACCACCTTTTTCGATCGGTTATAATTTGTCCATCCCATAATGCTACTTCATTTTGGACATGTGACGTCTATATAAAGGTAGATAAGGAGTATGAACACAACCACAATCCCATGCCTGAATGATGTAATAATAAAGAAACATGGGAATCCAACTTAAACACCTAAAACTTGACATACTACCCACTACTGTGCTCTAGAGAAACCACAAACTGAGCAACAATAAGCTCCCCTGTCAAAACAAAAAAATAGGCAAGACAAGAGGAACAAATCAAGCCAAGTCTATCATAATACACAGAAGGCCTGATTGTAAATTTATCACAATGCTACATGGCATTACCGCAATATGCACCTGATCCTTCCCCGTGAGACAGGTCCAAAGTAAATAGAACACAAGGTTGTCCCCATGAAATTTTGGCATTGAACAGCTCCTTGGATTACCATTAAAGTGTTCAATTATCGAATTAACTCAGCACTGACTCCGAGTTCACATGATGACCATGGCCCCCTGAATTACCATTAAATCCAACAACAGGTATAGAGCGCTGAGCAAAATCAAGTAATAGTTTTTTCTGGTGATCATCGGTGTGAGGTAAACTTGCACGTAAGAGCTCAACTGGCATTTCCTTGCTAATAGCTTTAGCAGCATCTGCACCAATGGCAGCCATATTTGGTGTCCCTTGTATAAGGAATGATTGCATTACACCATCATATTTACTCACACAGTACTTGGTCAGAAGGCCAAAGAATTCATCAAATGTAGCCTGCCAAAGTGAACGGTTTGCAATATTATAATTGGTAGCAGCATGAGGATCAGTTAGAAGTTCAGTTGCCCTTTCAAGCACGGATACTAGAATAAGGGAAGCCCCATCTCCAGCTGAACTTCCAAGGGGGCGTAGGGGTGGTGGATCAGAAATACAAACAGCTGCTGCTAGACAAGCACTAATTGCACTTAGATCCATTTCACGGATGCATCTCGAAACAACCCTTGCAAGGTTATTAATAGTGTCTGCTGAAGCTGGATCAGAGGAAAGATTACCAAATAAAAACCTTAAATGCCGAAAGATGGCCATGCAGACTACCCGCATTAGATCACCACCAGGAAAAAGCAGTTGAAGGTATCTAGCAAGAAGCTTTCTACCCTTGGGTAGAGAAACTATCCTGAGAAAAACAAAGTCATCTTTTGCAGCAAGTGTAACTGTACGTCCATTCTTTCCCAGTGGATCAACTAACTGAAGAGAGGCAGCAAGTCCTTCCAAAAGACCCTGCCGTTTCCGTTTTAACTGAAGACCACCATCTTGGAGCTGATTAAAGCGTAGGAAACGATCAATATCATCTACATCAAGAAGAAGATAAATACCATCTTCAATTGTGACCCTAGCTGCAAGCATGGGTTCCTGTTCAAGGGGTTTCTCTGAAATGCTTTGCTCAGGACTACCTACATTAGAGGAATTTGGAGGATCAACTTCCAGTAGAGGGCGGGGCCTGCGAATCGATGAGAATGGAACCCTCCCTAGAGCATCGACCTGAAGAAAAGCATGTGGTTCAGTATTAGAAGAGGGTCGTAGAGGAAGTTCCCTTATTTGAGCTGGACTGAAGTG